TAATTATCATACTATTTAAGTTTCTTTAAGAAACTGATAAATTTTCTTAAATATTCTAGACTGTTTTACTCAACTTCTTAGCTAAGTGTTTTATTAATTTCAACAGTTAAGATCATGAGTCAATTGAAGCTAGACCACCATAGAAAACCTGGAAGCACTGGACAGCCGTTTCGTCCTATTGTGGGAATCCTTGGCAGTGCTCATCCACGACTTTGTCTCGCGGGATTCGAACCTAGGACCTATCAGCCTTGCGCCAGGGGCCTGATCAACTAGACCACTGAGTCGGCCGGCATCCACTGGTGTTAATGTCTCACTTCAACTAATCCACGAAATTGAGCGACACATCCACCACTGTCATCAGTTTTATTAATATTTTATTTAAAACAAGAAAAAAATTATTTTTTAAGTTTTTAAAAAATTTATTTGATGTAAACTAAAAACTACCTGGCTAAAAAACAACCTCTCACTCTAATGGGTAACATTAAAAAAAATACTTATCAGGCACGACCAAACCATCCAGCTCAGAGAACAAAACTCCATCAATATCAGCTAAACACTTTTTGTGGAATTCCAATGCTTTCTTCACAACACTGTGTGATAAAACTTACATATGAGAATCAATTAAAAGGTTATAGGCAAAGTTTAAAAATACAGCTGATAAATAGTTCAATTTATGTTAATTAAAGTATGAAACATATTTCCTTCCTTTTATATTATTTGTTTGAAACTTTCAATTGATGTTTAGAACTAAGATTGATTAGTCTTTTATTGGTATATGTGCATTCTGTGTGAATCGCTTTAATATTGCCTATAGTCACAAACATTAAAAGATATCAGGACTCAGTAATTAAATAGATAACTTGGTGGTACTTGAAGCGTACGGCACTGGGTTCGAATCTTGGAGTGAACATCAACTCTGCGATACGGGTACATCCAGCTGACGAGTTCCAAATAGGATGAATTGCACTTCCTGAATTTCACTGATAGCCACCATCTATCTTTGCTTATATTTTCTCCTTATTCAATACAAATAGGTATGAAATTGCATAAGTAAGCACTCGCATGGTTAGTGCAATTTTTAAGATAGGGACAATACATTATTTTGTTAAAAGCTATTGATAACTTTTTTACTGACCGAAATCTGGTCAGTAAGATTGAATCTATGATTAAATAGATAAGAATTCATTGATTGGAACAATCCAGTTATATATATATATACAATCACTAAATATTCATTACTCACATAGTTTATTACAGATGTGCTTATCGCAATATATTCGGAAAAAGAAATAACTTCTGTTATGAAATAAAGTGATTATGTTATTTACTATTCTACTTAAATAATTATTATAGAAAATATTTCTTAAATTCTTTAAATGAATATGATTCGTCTACACATTATAAAGGGGAAAATCATAGAATTGAAGAACAAATCTGAATAAAGTAATAAACCTGTATATGTGAGCAGGTAAAAAAAAACACTACCGGTCATGTAATTTAAGCTCATGACAAATACGGGATTAGAGTTATTTTATTCCAATTTTGTTCATGTGTACTGTTTTTGTGCAAATTGCGTTGAAGTGAACCTATATCATTATAACTAACGTGGTTTCTACTACTTATTATAAAAATGTTGATTTTTGGCTATTAACCTTTTGCGTTTGTCAATTTATTGTTTAAACTGGAGCTTTAGTTTTCTATATACGGTCCTTACAGTTCAATTTTGGATGCATAGTATAAAAATATATTGTTTTCACGTTTTGATGGTTAGTTTCAACCAACAGGATAAATAGTTCTTGGCTTCCTAATAATCAAAATATAGTACCCAAGAAGTCTAGACCATAATGCAACTTCATCAGTGTGATTTGATTTTTACTAAACACGAAAACATGAAAATCACTCAGTGTTCGGTGAGAACAAAAGTCTCATTAAAACAGCCAGTTGTGATACGTTTGAATCAGATTCAAACAACACGAGTGGCGAAACTTCCTTTAAAACTAGAGATTTACTTGATAGTGGAGTATTGGCTAGGATGAATGTTAAGCTCAGGGATACCTGCTTAATGTGTTCACCAGGCTAATATCAATTATTTCCTAAATTTACTTCACTTATGGTTTTCTGTAATTATAATACTTACTTATACCTGTTGCCCCTCTTAGTGGAGCATAGTTCGCACACCAACATTCTCCATAGAACTCTATCCTGAACAATTCTTTCCAGTCTTCTCCAGTTGCTATTAATTTTTTTTCATGTCTGCTTCCGATTTCTTTAGTCTTCCATTTTTTCGTTCCTCTAATTCCCTTCCGAGTTAAAGCTTGCCTGGTGATGCAGTTTGGAGATTTCCATAATGTACATCCTACCCACCTCCAACGTCTTTTCCTAATTTCCTCTTCATATGAAAGCTAGTTGTTTGTCACCCACAGTAGGCTGTTGCTGATGGCATCCGGTCAAAGTACATTAAGTATCTTGAGTAGACAATTGCTTATAAATAATTGTATCTTCTCAATGAAAGGTGTTCACCTCAAAAGAATCAAAATACTTCCAATATTATTCATCAAAAATATAGGTATCTGTGTTATTTTATCTTTAAAAGAATCCAGACGGAATTTCGACATTTGCCATTTACTAATCTTATGCCTGGTCTGCAATAATATGATATGTAAAAACTATTAATTTTCCAACGAATCTTAACTATTCATTAACTCTACATTGGAAGAACATTAATTTTATTGTGATTCATTCACACAGTAATGATAATAATAACCATAATAATAATTATATTTATTATTACAGTGATTAATTATTACTTTAGCAGACGAAATGATAATAGAAATCGTAAATTATTATTTACACTACATTATTCCAAAATATAAATATGTAGATTCAATTCGATAAATACAAAAATGCAGACAATAACATGAAAGAAATTGATGAAAACAGTACGTAGTTTACATTTTTCACCTTTTCGCCAAGTATTCTGATTAGGCAACACTTGTATACGCCATATAGCTTACTAGTTAAGTAAACCAATTAATTATTGAGGTGGTAAAATATCATATACAATTTATTAATCATTTTCATTTACTGGCATCCAAGGCTAAGAATTAATTGATAACACAACTGAATGGAAAATGGGAGTGATAAATGTTAATAGTTTAAAATGCTGGAAGACTGGATTATAACTAAATCCGTCATAATGGTCACGTGGATAAAAGTTAGCCACTTCACACACTCCTTGAACTCGATTTTTAATCTCTACGCACTTGTAAATCAGTAATCATAGGTGGTATGTGGGTAAAAGATATAATTTATTCACTTAGATCTCCAATTCTAAAAAATTATTAACTTAAGACTAGGAAGAATTATTCTTGATTAAAAGAATTCGATTGCTGTGAGTTGAATAGAATGGTATTAATGACTTATTGATCAGTTGATTGAAATGTTTGAGTTCTACAGGAGATCATTTTTGTTCCAAATTGTTTGGGTTGAGTGTATCTAACTGTGTGACAAGGATTCAAAGCAAAAGGGTAAGCGTTTACTACCTTGATATTTTAGACATGCATTTACGATCACTCCCAACAAACAAAAAACGTTATTCCAGTAACTTTCATTTCTCGCCTAAAAACGCCCATCACACAAGAGTTGTAAGTAAAATATGCATGCTGGAAGTCGAATAAAGTTAGACATGAACACCGTTGGTCGCCAGATCGGCGGTCCGGAGGTTAAGCATTCCTATGAAAGACCGAAGGTTCTGGGTTCGAGTCCCTCTGGTGTGGGATCGTGGAAGAGCACTACTGAGTAATCCCATACTAGAACGAAACGGCCGTCCAATGCTTCCAGGTTTTCAGTGGTGGTCTAGCTTAGATTGACTCATGAATTCAACTAATAATATCACGACAATCTCCACAAACTCTATTCTGATTAGAAATCCACTGATTTAACTTTCCATGCTTATTTTAATGATCCTAATAACTTTCTGTCATTATGTTCATTTGTTTAGTTTGAAAGTGTTTCACAGCATTATGTAGATTTAAGCCATAGAAACCAAATGGTATGTTTTGACTTAATGAATAGTATCAGTCTATTCAAATGGATGCAAAACTACTGTTTTCTTCCAGTCATTCACAACTATATAGATATTTAACTGGTAGTTCACGAAGAACTATTATTACTCAATAAATAAACATTAATTATTTATGTTAACTGGAGTATCTTAATAAGGATTATAGACTTGATAATAAGCCATTATATGTGCCTTCGTTTTAAAGAAATAAATGTTGAAATATATTACCAGTATTATATAATGAAGAACATTAAAACAACAAATCTAAAAGAATTCAGAAGAATTTCAGACAGTTGAGTTCACATCAGTTAACAATACTTATTTGTAATTCACCTGAGATATTTTTGCTTATAATTATCATCTGACCTATCAGTGCAGTCTGAACAAAATCATCCGATAAGAGTTTTTGTTCTGCTATGTTCTGAGTATACTAAAAAAGGCCAGAAACTAATAAATATCATAAATTCACATCACTTGGGAACCAGTGATAATTAAAAGGCATAAAAGGGCTGTTCCGTTTTAATTGGGGACGTTAAACAGCAAAATTTTAATCAGATGTCATTTATGCTGAACATAATATATAGTATATACTTAAATACTCAAGACAAAAATTTATCTCGTCAGCTTCAATTGTCTTCATTAAGCCTTTCAATAAAGCGGAGAAATTATTCTACTCAGTTATTGGGATTTAAGTAGTGGCATTGAAGGATAATGAATAATTAACCAATCAAATCAAAGCAGATTTTTGATTGGCTAAGTCAGATTATTGTATTCAACAGGTCTGCCACTATGCGGCATTTTTACTTATCACCACAATGATTTCAAAAAATGTGAAAATAAAAAACAGAACTTAGTAGAAATATGAAAGAAACCATGTTTTATTTTGATGAGAATGATCTAATTACTACCATACACATTTCTTTTTTCAATGATCAAGGATTTACATCAAACTCGTGTCAGTGACGACAAGACCTATCAACACGCTGTCAATAATAACAACAGTCAGCCAAATAACAAAACTTCAGTACAATACAGGCATTCAGCAGAGTTAGTAAATGCAATACACCAAAACACAAGGACGGGTTATTCAACAAACAGGGTAAATGACAGTATACAACGAAATTGTTATTTACCTAGGACAAATTTATCTCATATACAACAATCTCAACATGATTCCCATCTGAACAAACCTCAGAGAACAATAAATTTCCTCAACTCAACTGGATCACATGATATTAATAATTCTGAAACTATCACAGATAGTCGGAATACAAAATATCAGAAACATGAGTATGGTATTCACTCAAGTACAGATAATAGAAGCTGTTATAGGATGTCGTGTAATAATGGATCATGTATTGGTCGAAATATTTTGGAGAATTCAGTAACTAACAGTAATGACATTAACAATTTTAATCATGGATTAAAAAACTTTAAAAATAAAGCAGATTACCAGACACGGACAACTCCAGGAAAAGAGCAAAAATCTGTCCATTGGTCTGAAGATTTAGGTAAATTGAAAGTAACAATAAATTTTTATAGATGAAATATTAGTCAATAAATGTTTTTGATTGCTTAAAATATTAATAGTGTTGATTTTGTTGTCGATAACAACTTTAGAGGTTGTTCTTTCTACATGAAGAAATACTGATTCCTTCGGTGTATAAGTCTAAAGATGAGGTGATTGACTAAAATTTGATATATCATTTCCAAGACAACACATTATCAGGTTTATCTGCTTATGATATATAATTCATTTTGATATGATCAGAAATGAGATCTTTGTTCTTTCTCTGTTCAAATCAATAAAGGGGATTATATGCATAGAAATCTTTTTCAAAAAAGTGTATGTCATTGATTTATAATTGTTATTGATTTAAGGGGAATGCTATCTTATGCACATACAATTTAAATCATTCAAAAATATAATTCATATTATCGATTGACTGAATATTTCATATTACCTCAGTAAAACACAAAAACCATTTCAAGGTTCAATATTCAATAATTCAATGTAATATCAATTTTATTAAATACAACCTAGTAACCAAGGTAGAATTGTAATGTACTTGTTTTGAAGATCTTTTCGTTTCATTTGCGGGGTATTAATCATAAATATTTGCATTAAGTAAATTAAAAATTCAATACTTTCCAACTGGATTATAGTATTTCAATATAAAGGACTTCCTAATAGTACATAAGTAATCTATCATTGATTTATACATAGATTTTTATGTGGTATATGTTGCTTTCCATTAATTTTCTCAATGATTAATAAACTTGAAAGAGCCATCAAAATGTTTTAGATAAACAATGTTAGCATGAGTAAAGTATATAATATTTCAGTAAACAAAAGCTGTATATAACCACTATGTTTTTGTTACCCTAGTACTTTTTCATTTTGTGTTACCTTGACCTTGAAACAAGTAGTTGTAAACAATAAGATTACTCTTATTTACAAGTATGCAAATTTTTATAACACAGTAGTTAAATCAAGTAACTAATAGCTATCTCTTACTTATAAGTAGAGTACAAACTTAACGAGATATAATAATCATACTGACTATAGCTAAACTATTCTGATATACAGTTGATGATAGCATACACTAGAAAGAAAATTTTACTCACTGTTTAAAGTTATTCTGCATTTAACTTGTCTATTTATTTATTTATTTGAACACATAAATATGAGTACAAAGGGGCCTCGATTATATATGCGCCACACAAGTCACTTTATTTTTGTGTGGGCTGTGATACCGCCCGAGTGCTCAAGCCGAAGCAAGTGGTTTTCTTAGGAGGCCATACCCGGAGCCTTCGACCAAAGGGTCTGATCCAAAAGGCAGTAGAGCAATGTCAGGAGATGCAATCCCCTGGTAACCGGTGACCAACGATTGGTTCATACGCCATTTGTTCCTTCAGGATACTGCAGCACATGTGGATCATTGATTTGGAATGACGGTTTTCTAACTTCCCTAGAAGGACTCTCCGTGTCCACCAACCCGGTTAAAGTGATGGACATTCGTCCTCTCAATTTCGTAAACAATACTCGTGCCACGAGAAGGCAGTATGTAGAACTTTCCTGTTAGTGGTTGTACACACGTAGCCATGTGGGAGCATTTCGAGATGGAAAGCTGACTCTCCCTACCCTCTGCCGTACCAGGGCATTTGAGGGCATTTAAGTTGTACTGTGCAGTAACCACGTATGTATTAAATTCAGTCTGATAATTTGATAATAGTTGGAGAATATTTTCCAACTTTGGTCAATTCGAACAATTCAATCTGAGAAAACATAACGAATCAAGTGCTAATTACTTAACAAAAGTGAATACACAAAGTAATTTAATTTATGCTAAATACAAATCTATCTAATTAGGCTATGAAAATAAACAATGACTGAATTATACAAAGTGACCATCAACACTTCAATTTCAGCATTAAATCCTGTTAAAGTGCGTTAAAACATAAGTTAATTGATATTTAAAGAAATACAGTGTCAAATTTTAATTTAATAAAAAAGCATGATTCTACTAACACAAAACAATATTAGTTCCCCATTCATACGTTTATGAATGTGAATTTCCCTTGACAATGATTATCATGTTATTTGTTGAGTGTTTGCCATCAGTTGAAATGAACTATTTTAAGATGATTAGATTCAAAGTGTGAGATGGTTTTGGTGAGACTAATTTATGATCAACCTTTGAGAGACGCTAGAGTGGCCTTGGCAAAATTAACCTACTTATTAAGGTGAAAAAAAGGTTAAGAATTAGTATGAGAAGTATTAATTAGTAATTCGAGTTAGAAGTTAGGGTTAGGATTTTCATTACAAACTGATATCAAATATAATGCCGAAATGCTATTTAACCATATGGATAAGTATTGACATAAGCATTTTCTAGCGATATTTCTAAGACAAGTAAATCAGTGCATATATCAAAACCTTGTCACTCTTACTGAAGAGATTACTTTCAGACAGAATAATTTGATGATAAAGTCTGTGGATGAGAAATTCGGTGATGTAAGTTTAAAGCTCTCATTTTCTTCAAGATCGTAGATACACCTTGCTGATGAAAACTACAATACCCTATTGATTATCTTCAACCATCTAGGATCCAAATATAGTATAAACACTATCAACTCACTTAGACTAGTGGCCGCTACTCAACTTGATACATAAAACTTTTTTATCACTATGGGCTAAACATACACTACACAGATTACTACTTGATGATTATTCACTAAGAGTAATAATATTCATTATGAACTATAAGTATGTTTCAGAGTATCATAAAAACCCATTTACCTGATAACTAAAAGTAATTAAATCAAAATTAAAGTTTTCTTTGAGAGTTCTTCATTCTTAGAAAATCCATACCTTAAATTAATTCCTAAAATATATAAATAATTATTTCATCAGTTCACTTTCAACCAAATTCTTAAATATCCTCAGTGATAAATAATTCATCAATATTTATTTGTCTGGACCACCATCGTAAACCTGGAAGCACTGGATGGCCATTTCTTCCTATTGTGGGACTCTTGTGGGTCTGTTGTGAGATAGTAACTCATTGATGGTAATGGTAGATGTGTCACTCAAGTTCGTGGATTAGTTGAAGTTAGACATTAACATCCTTAGATACAGGCTTAGTGGTCTAGTGGTTAAGCGATCGCGCGCGAGACTGATAGGCCCTGGGTTCGAATGTCGAGAGGTGAGGTCGTTGCTGCTCACTGTTGAGGAGTCCCACCTAACCGCCGTCCAGTACTTCCAGGTTTTCCATAGTGATCTAGCTTCAATTGACTCATGATCTCAACTACTGAAATTACTACAATCTGTAAAAAACCCTTTCTGATATTTTTTTTTGTTTAAGAAAAATTCTTCAGCTTATTCAGAATGAATCCATGTGTAACGAGATCATTTTCATTTAAAACACCATTTCTACATTTATTTCTTTTAATTTAAGATTCTTATTTTATTTGTAGTAAACATTTTTATTATCTAACCTATCGACTAATGTCAATGAGAACAAATAGGATATTATTGAAAATCTATTGGATCAATCAATTTTATTGATTAAAAGAAGTACAGTTGTTGTTTGTTTTTTTTCTTCTTCATTTTGTAAAGTAAACAACTTGTTTATTTATTTATAATAAACGAATATGAGTATTCAATGATTAATTATTGTATGAAAAGTCTTTTATTCTGATTTAACTTACCACCTAAAAGTGTTCAATAATGTTTTAAATCAAGTTTAGATTAAAGTTAAGAAAATTGAATAGATTGTTTTTTTGTAGATATTTGCTGAGTTTGGATGTTATTTTTTCATCTTGAAATGATAACTGTTGGAAGAGTCATTGGAAATTACAAAACACTAGACAACTAGTTTGTTTTAATTTCAAACTTTTAAGCAATACACATTTAATACTTTATTTGAAATCAGATTCTGAATTCTTAGATTTCAAAGAAAAAGAATTGTTTGATCAAGATCCAGTACCGCATACATATTAACTTTGGATTTCAATTGTAATTATATTTCTTCAACTCAGTTTAATATGGTATCGGGTTGTACAGGTATTAAAAGTACAATGTATTGGATCGGTGAGAAGCTGTTACCAGTGGAGTTCAACCAGGTCTCTTGTGAGACATCAGCTCACTGAAGACAATGGTATACAGTGGCTCAACTTCATGGATTGGTTGAAGTTACACTTTAACACCGTTGGATGCCGGCTCAGTGGTCTAATGCTTAAGTGCTCGCGCACGAAGCCAGTAGGTCCTGGAATCGAATCCCGCGAGGTGCGGCATCGTGGATGCGCACTGCTGAGCAGTCCCATACTAGGACGAAACGGCCGTCCAGTGCTTCCAGGTTTTCCCTGGTGGTCTAGCTTCACCTGACTCATGATTTCAACCTGTGAAATGTTCAAGCTTTAAAAGTCTGTTTACAGTTCTTCACTGAATATAAGGAGATAAGATTAAATCTGTTTAAATTCACCGTTAAAGCATATTTCCTAAAAGAAAATTAAATATCCCATTTATATGTTTCGGAAATATGTACGTTTGGCTTAAAATAGAAAACTGGATTTTCTTTGATATTTAATAAATGAGTCAAATGTTGGCTCAATAAAACTTGTGTTCATTACTGCCTATCGGTTAGTGTTTTGATTGTTATTAATATCTATTTGAAATAAACAGATATTTTGCTGGTAATTTCATCAACAAGCTTATTTTCTTAAAATTACTTTACAATATTTACTTAACTGATAGTCACTGAATGAGGTCAACAGATTTGATTTGTTTTTAAAAAGTGCTAAAGAACTAGTTTACATTTATCTGGGATATATTAATACATCATACACACATTCAACTACATCAGATGTGGAAATTGTAAAGTGACAACTAATTGGCTTTTTTAACTCAACATGAATAAAACCATAGAATTTAGGGACCTAACTTTTTCAAGCATGAAATGTATGTCTATTTCCGCTTAATTATTGGTATATAATGAATCAGATGATT